GACTGGTTTGGCAGTCGACCGCGAATTGAGCTGGCAGTTTCCTAATCTGTTTTGAATTCTGTTTGGGCTGGGATTCATATATATGATATATATGTATATATATTATATATCTATAATATATTATATTATATATATATATATATGAGATAATGAGTATAATTGTCATATGAGAGGATTTCCTATATACATGATTTGGCATAATCTCCCCAGTGAATAAGTAGGAGAAGAGAATGCCGTCATAAAAATCACTTGGGGGAGATTGTGCCACATCATTGAATATGACAGAATACTCTCAATTGATATGATACCCATGTAATCTCTCTCTTCTCTCTCAATCTCTCTCTCTCTTATATATATATATATTATATATATATATATATATATATATATGATATATATATATAATTATATATATATATTATATATAATAATAATATTATATTTAATATAATATATATATATATATATATATATATGTATATATATATTATATATTATTTATATATATATATATATATATATATATATTATATATATAATATATTATACTATATATAATATATATTATGTATATTATTATATATATATATATATTATATATATATATATATATGTATATGTATATAATATATATATATATATGTATATATATATATATATATGTATATATATAATATAATGTATATATATATATATATATGTATATATATATATATATGTATATATATATATATATATATATATATATATATATTATATATATATATATATATATTATATATATATATATATATATATATATATATATATATATATATACATATATACATATATATATATACATATATACATATATTATCATATACATATTATACTATATATATATTATATATATATATATATTATATATATATATATATATATATATGTATATCTATATAAATATATATATATATGTATATAATATATATATATATATATTATATATATATATATAATGTATATATATATATATATATATGTATATATATATTATCACAGTGTGTGGTGTGTGTGTGTGTGTGTGTGTGGGTGTGTGTGTATATAAGGAATATGGGATGCTGGACACAAGCACAAAAAGTTGTGTTGGTAGTGAAGGTTCAAATCCTTCTACTCATTCAATATGGGAAGCAAATTCCATGGTAGTGAGTGATGGAACATGTGACACATAACTACACAGCACACATTTTTATGCTTAGTACCAAAGCATACCCATTTTCAGTATATAACTATATATATATATATAATATATTATATAAATAATATATATATATGATAATAATAACTATTATATATATATATATATATATAATATATTATTCTAGGGCTAATGAGAACGTGAAAAACCATCAGAAAGAGGGGGGAAAGTGAGAATCTCAAAGAGATTAATCCATTGTTTGAGTGCTTGTATTCCTTCTTCAATTAATCAAAAAGATTGTATGGTGTGGCTCCCGAGGACGTAGGCAAGTTGCCGAACCTCGTTAAATTCGTGTGTTCTCTCTTGTTCTTATTTCTGTAAGTTTTTATCTTTAATTTGTGGTGAATTTCTTTCTTACTCAACTTTCTAATAAGGTCCGGAAGGGTAATGGTTCGATTTGATTGTTTTGAATCCCCAACAATTCCAACCTCTCGAAAGATTTTTTTCAGCTAGAAGGAGTATCTTTTCCATTCAACTTCAACATCGCTTCTTCACGGATCATCATCGACATCGGTTTGAAGAACGATTTGTTTTAAAATGGCTGTAAGATATTTTCAATTGCGCTTTAGTTATTTTTAGGGTTAGTTTTATATTTCAAACTTGTGAGTTTATTAGCGTACTCAAGTTAGGATAATTAAGGGTTGGCGTGCTCAAGCCAGAATAATTAAATGTGGCTAGCTAGCACTATGTTCTTCTGGTCATTATGAGGAGTTGGGTATCTCGACTAGTTTAAGGTAGATTTTAGGGTCTTGTTTGTAAAACCTACTGAATCATATTGTGATTCAGGAGAACTCCAGTCATAGTGAAGAAGGCCCTTCGCTAGAAGGAAGTGTAGATGTAGGATTTTGATCCAAACCACTATAAAAATCTCGTGTGTTCATGTGTTTGTTGCTTTCAGTTTTTCACATATATATTTTTTCCCTGCATATTCTGAGTTTAGTCAAAAAATTATAGTAATCCTATTTACCCTCCCTCTAGGCTTGCATCTCAGATCCAACAATTGGGAATTTAGTGTGGCTTTGAAAGTTTTGGGGGTTTACTATAGAGAAGAGGGTAGGGGAGAGGAATGATTGAACTAAATCCTAGGTGTGGAAAAGGAGATGAAATGAGTGTAGTGTAACTAATTATGTTTGGATAGACAATTAGGGAATGGAGAGGAAGAGAGAGTGATAGAACTAATTGTGTTTGTTTAGAATAGAAAATAAGAAGGGAATGGAGCAATTTACTTAAAATCCAACCTCTCCTCTCCCAATCCGTTTACTTTTAGAGGGTTAATACTTTTAGAGGGTTAATAAAGTAATGAAATTTGTATCTTTTTAACCCTTCCAATCCATCCCCTCACTCAAAATTTTAAACAAACACAATTTTAACTAGAATGGTTAGCATTGTCACCTCTCAAACTCCTCCTCTCCTCTCTTTAAAAAAAGCCATGCCGAAGCCGCAGCCATTACATGTAAATTTACACGCGAACTAAAAGCTTCGCGAGCTGATCTTTTCGTTCCTCAAATTTGAAGATTTTCTTTCTCCCCTCTCCCATCACACGTCACTTTTTTTTTTTTTTTGAATGACATCACGTCACTTTTGAGTTAAGGTTGAACCGTTGAAGATTCCATTGGCATAAATTTATTCAGAGAGAGAGATCGGTGGATATAGGGAGGCGCTACAGGCACACCCTCAGGCACACCACCAACCACACCCCCTCTCTATCTACAGTGCAGGGGGCATCACATCAGATTTTTAAAAAAAATCTGATGTGGGGCCCCCTGCACTGTAGATAGAGAGGATGTGTGGTTGGTGGTGTGCCTGAGGGTGTGCCTGTATCATTTTTCATGAAAAAAGTTATCCCATACTCAAGTAAACGCCTTTTTGGTGCCCGGCCCGGCCCGAAATAAAATTTTTTATTTTTTTTATTTTTTTATTTTTTATATGTATTATATATGTATAATATATGTATATATAAATATATATAATATGTATAATATATGTATATATAATATATTTTTATATATGTATAATATATGTATATATATAATATATGTATATATAATATATTTCTATATATGTATAATATGTCATATGTGTGTATATATATACTCTCTCTTAGTATATAAGTATATATAAGTATACTCTCTCTTATATAAGTATATATAAGTGTATACTCTCTCTTATATAAGTATATATAAGTGTATACTCTCTCTTATATAAGTATATATAAGTGTATACTCTCTCTTATATAAGTATATATAAGTATACACTCTCTTATATATGTATAATATATGTGTGTGTATATATATATACTAATATACTCTCTCTCTTAGTATATATGTATATATAAGTATACTCTCTCTTATATATGTATACTCCCTATTATATAAGTATACTCTTTTATATATGTGTGTGTGTACTCTCTCTCTCTTAGTATATAAGTATATATAAGTATAGTATATTACAACGGCTACTTCTTCCCCATTGGCCCAACGGGCAACGACTACTTATGCGATTCTCTCTCTCTCAAGTTATAACTTATAAATATATACAATATATTTACATATAATATATGTATATATAATATATAGTTACATAATAATTTGTAAGTATATACTAATACATAATTATATAAAATATAATAATATTAAACTAATTTTTAGTATTTTTTTATTTAAAAGAAAAGAAAAGAAAAAAATTTTAAAAAAACCTAGTTGGGATGTACTTATCTATTGTGATGCGATGAATTCCAAAATAAATTTATACTTGTAACTTGTAAATGATTTATTCATTATTAATAAAGAATTTATTTTTATAAATTTTTATTTGTAATTTATGTCATTTTAAGTAATTAATAAAATTATTGTTTTTTTATTAATTTTTTTATAATTTAAAATTTAAATAAAATTTAAAAAATTTGATTAAAAAAAATTAAAAAAAATAAAGCTGGCCGGCAGGGCCCGGACCCGGTTTTGCCCGACCCGAGCCCGGATTTTCGGGCCAGGCCAGCCGACCCGGATGGATAGGTCGTCTACCTTTGACCCACCTAGGACTTTTTTTTGGTGAGCCACCGAAGACGTACATCTGTTTGTAGTTTGGAAATTGTTCACGATACGCTTCAATGCTGTCCTCTATCTGTTGATGATTTTTTGCATTAAATTAAGTATACATAGTTGTTAATGGATGTTGTTTATTTAATTAAGGCAATTAACTAAATCAATTTTCATCCCATATTTTCATTTTTTAAAATATTAATATTTGATGCAAAGTACACAAAATTAAGGACCTAAAAGTTGAGAAAAGAAATTAAAATAAACCTTTTACTTATTCAAAAAGAAATTACAATGTTTGATATATGCTTGTATATGAGTAAATACGTATTTAATGCATAAGTCTTTTTTTTATCATTTTCTTTATTTTAGACCAATATACACGCATTAAGTTATTGATGTTCATTTGTCAAAGTATCTTATCAGCTCTAATAAATGCACTGCAAGAACCTTATGCCCCTAAATTAATAGATAATCTTGCATCAAGATCAAGGAAATTAGGCATACAGCTAGGACATGCTTTCAATGACGCCATTGACATTCTGAGTTTGAGCTTTTAACGCCACATGGATGTAACCTCAAATTGATCTCATCGGTTTCTTAGATTAAACTTGTCTCTATAAAAAAAATTATTTTTTATTTTTTGATGGGAACCTCCTCGTTGTTGATGCTCAATATCAAACAGCCAATTAATCTAGACAACGATTGTTACGGGATGATGAAGAATGATGGAGGGCCCGCTCCCTTCTTCGACTTTATGTCTGGTTCTTGAACGAAGGCTTGATGTCCATGCTGCACAGACAAAAAGAACCCGTGAGAGGGCGGGGACCGGTTCCCCCGTGGTTCCTCCGATGGTCAAGTTAGTGAAACTCGAGTAGAAAAGGGGAAGGTTATGAACTGATATGGTTCTTAAGGTAGCAATGTGCATGCCTAGAGGATCTACGTGAGTTCCTCTGTGTTTTTTGAAGAATTGTGTCAGTTCTTCTCTCATGGAAGGAGTTTAGAGGAGACTTTTATTATTATTTGTCCCCTCTTGCTAATTAGGGTTATACCTCTATATGAAGTGGTGAGGTGAGCTGATAATAGGGGTCTCCCTTGCTTGACAGATGTCAACTTGCGATCAAAGGGGAAGTCACTTCGGTATGGGAGAGGACGTCTCCGCAATATCCGGAAAATGATAGATGGATGTGGCAGAAGGCACGTGGGCATACTGAATCATCCCTCATTATACAGGTGTCGGCTGGCGACTGGAGGGGAAGTCACTTCGGTATGGGAGAAGACGTCTCTATAATATCCGGGAAGCGACTTGTGAGTGAAGTATGAGCAGGTTGGCTTCTAAGTCACAAGAAGTGTCAGAGCTGTGGCCTTGATAGGACAAGTCAGTGTTGTGGCGTCGATTAGAGAGCTAGTGCATATCCGAAGGGAAACTCAGTTTGATCTTATCCTCTTGGCAAAGAGGCGTCAATCTTTGAATCGTCCTTGTGGTTTGTCGACTAGGTAGTCGAGTGAACTTATGGTTTAGTAAACAGCTGAGTAAGTGGTCGGGCGGACTCTTGAGGAGTCGTCTCGGTTATGAAGGGTCGACTGATTCCGCCTTTCGCGTCGACTCAGGAACATCGGTCTGTCCGACTGGTTGGAATGTCATCTCGTCTCAGCTAATAATCGTCTCTCGAGTCGATGTAAAGATGTCGACTTGTATGGGAGGTCAGGATCTCTCGTCCTGATCAATATCGCCTTTGGTGTCGACTCAGGAGAGTCGGCTTGATGAAACGGTGGGGGCCGAGGCCTTTGTGATTGTGCCTTGGGTTTATCCCTGATAAGGTACCAAGGTCTTGTAATGAGCCATGATGGTCGAGTTGCATTGGAGGATTCGACCATATGATGTACCTTGGGCTTACCTTGATAAAGAGCCAAGAGCTTAAAATTCGACTGTCACGCCCCGCTTCCCAAAATACACGGGAACTGGAACGTGAACAAGCCCGCGACGTATTAGATTGAGAAGAAATATATATATACTATCATTTTTTTTTCTATTTTCTTTTCTTTTCTTCTCAATCCAATACGCTAAGCGTCTGGAAATAAGTACAATACAAAGTCACAGGTCCCCGATCACACATAGCAAGAATATAAAGACAACCCAGAATAAAAATAGACATATCATCAATGGTAAATCATCCCAGACATAAAATATGGGTCAAACGTACCCTTATACAAAACTGAACAAATGAATGCTGATGAGATACAAAAATACATCGATCAATGAAAAAGAAAGAACTACAAAAGTAAGCTAAGACCATCGAACAACTGGAGGGAAAATTTGAAAATTTCACATAATATTCTGAATTATATTAATAATTAATAATCAACCAAAAATCTTTTTTTATTAATATTTATATACTACTGTACTATACTCAAGTTTACATCAATAATAACAAGGTCATTAATAATATTAATCACCAAATGATTATATATAAAAATCACTAAACCGTAAATTAATATTTAGTAGAATTAAAAATACAAGACTATATATTTTATTATTTATTTATTTTGAAAACTCAAAAAATTCCAGAAATTAGGAAAAATATTAATAAGATAAAATTTAACATTTTAAATACTAGAAAATTTATTTAAATACGTATCGAAAAATTACGGTTGTTACATCGACTGAGGAGTCGTATGCCTAGAACTCTTGGGAGTTGACTAGAGCTTTCCTTCCCCTAAGGCCGAGAGGCGACTGTGGGAGTCGGCTAAAAGGTTGGGTTTGTTTTGCTAGGATTCTCATTGTATTATTTTACAAATATATGTATCTTGGGTGAATGAACACCATAACACTCATGATCTTTGGAACTATAGATATCAAACCCCTAGGCGTGGCTAAGCCCTCCCCCTTAATGCACAACCTAGAATGTTTTAGGAAATTGAATTTTTATGTATGCTTTTTAAGAGAGTCGAATTTGAGGGCTTGAAGTACTACTTAAAAGCAACTTATTAATTGAGTTAGAACCTCTTGGGTGACTAAACTTGCTCTTACTAATGACCTTTGTGTTGGATTTATTGGTCAAAATCGCTTTCCAAAATAAGTTTTCAAACTATATATTTACTAACTACTGGTATTTTTCAGAAATCCTTAATAGCGTAGTGAAAAATAAAAGTTTTTGTGTTTTAAAAGGTCCTCAGTTCAAGGCTTGCCATAGGCAAGCTGAAAATTGTTTTGTCTTAAATAAATTAATTAACCCCTCATAAGTACTAGTGGGTCGTGGGTCATGGGCCTTGGGCTCGTGGGCAGTGGACCGTGGGCCAATGGGCTGGGGATCAGGACAAATCGGGTTGAGGTGCTAAGTAGCGCTTTGTAAGGCGCACTTTGCACCACGCAGGCTACCTCGCAAGCTGTTTTACAGCATGCGGGCGAGCTTCGCATTCGCAGGTGACCCTCGCGTTCATGCGTTTCACGAGAGGGAACGCACCCCCTCACATTCGCCCGAGGGTGCGACCATCGCGTTCACGCGAGGGAACGCGACCCTCGCGTTCGCGCGAGGGAACGCGACCCTCGCGTTCGCGCAAGGGTGCGACCCTCGCGTTCCGGCGAATATATAAGTATACACTCTCTTATATATGTATAATATATGTGTGTGTATATATATTAATATACTCTCTCTCTTAGTATATATGTATATATAAGTATATTCTCTCTTATATATGTATACTCCCTCTTATATAAGTATACTCTCTCTTATATATGTATAATATGTGTGTGTGTACTCTCTCTCTCTTAGTATATAAGTATATATAAGTATAGTATATTATAACGGCTACTTTTTCTCCATTGGCCCAACGGGCAACGACTACTTATGCGATTCTCTCTCTCTCAAGTTATAACTTATAAATATATACAATATGTTCCGGCGAGGGTCCGAGCCTCGTGTTCGTGAGGCACGATACGACTCTCGCATTGCGTAGAAACACGACCATCGCGTTCAAACGTAACTGCATGCAGCAGTTAGAATAATTAAGTCATTTGTTGTTACAATCATAATTATCATTATGATTTGTAACTGTCAAATTGACTGTGGGTGATCCTTGAGCTGGCCTTAAAGGCCTATAAATAGTGCCCCTTAGGACAGCTCTAGCTTGAGAGACGAAAAAAACTGAAGTGTTGTAAAACTTGAACATAATGAATCTGTTAAGCTCTTGTGCTGCTGTAGAGTTTAAAAGCGTGCAAACTTTAGTCTGTGCCCAAAGGAACATAGCTCCGAACTGAAATGTTATTACAGATTAAAAGATCTTTTGTCTGAACTGAAAGGTTATTAAAGATCGAAAGATATTTGTCTGAACTGAAAGGTTTTGAACCAAAAGGTTTTAACAGATCGAGAAGATCATTACCTTGACCGAAAAGTCTTATAGATCGAGGAGATCTTGATAGTACTTGGTTGGTGCACACCATTGTACTGTACTGTTGTTCCTGAAAGCAATTTAGCCTTGGGATCATTGCACCGGAGTTGGCCAAATATTGCTTTAAGCACAACGTTTTACAAACACACAACAACTAACTTGAAAAAGTTTTAAAATATAGCACTTCAACTTTCTTTCAGTTCTCTCTAATTTATATCTGTTTTATTCTAGATTTAGCCACATGCGCCAACACTTTGAAACATATTTTAAAGATAGCAAACCACAGCTTGCGATAAGTTGTGGTATGATTCTCATAATAAGTTAATGATTGCTAGCATAAAAAATGTAGCCAATTTCGATTGTCTCCCTAAATTGATTTTTCTTTTTGATTCAGCTCTTATGATTCAACTATATATTACGAAAATCTGAGCTGTACAGAAAATGCTTTCGCGGTACATTCATGCAAAAGTATATAAAAACTATATTCATAACAAAATGTAACTACAAAACTATGACAAAAATAATTGTTGTGCGCAGCGGAAATTTCGGCAGCACTTCGGCAGCACAACAAGAGAGATTAGATCGATAAGAATTCCAGTCTCACTAAGGAAACAAGAATCTGAAGCGGATATCTCAACCAAGTGAGATATCGGCTCTTCCTCTCATCAGTTCTAGGACTGACCTGTCGAGGGATCCTACAAGCTATTACAAATCACGACAAGAACACAAATTTTACGTGGTTCGGCAAACTGCCTACGTCCACGGGGCAAGGAGGGGGAGATCTACTATTAGAGGGAGAGATACAACAAGGGTTTACAATCACTCACAATCTAAACCCTCACACAAACTCTCAGATCCCTCACACAACTATCTCTCTCAAAAGGGGAGCACAAATCAAAGAACAACTGCAAAAAGACTTTGTATTTCTCTGTGAATAGCCGCCAAAGTCTGTCCTTGCTCTCTGCCACTTGCTGCAGTCGAAAAGAAAAAGAGAAAAAAAAACCGATTTTTTTTTCTTGCTCCACGCAACTGCAGCCGCAAAACCTCCTACCCTTGCTTTTCTCCTGCACACACATTCACGAAAACCTAGGTGCTCACTTTATAGAACTGTGATTCGGGTGATTCGGGTGGGCCTGCTCCTTTCCGCACCTGTGAACAAAGTTCTTTGTTCACGTGGGTATGTTGGACCCCACGTGCTCACAATTCTCCACATCGGTGAAATTTTCTACCAAAAAAAAACTGAGCCGACACTGACCACATCAAATGTCTCACTTGTTGCATCCAGTACGTCATGGCAACGGACTCATGACAACGGACTCCATCCACAACAGGTCGAGACCCAAATGGGAGTGCGAACACTCAACCCAAACCAAATAGTGTCTACTCACCAATCAAACTGAGCCTACACCGACTACACCAAATGCCTCACTTGCTGAGACCCAAATGGGAGTGCGAACACTCACCCCAAATGTCGATGTCGCTCACCAAATCGATCTCACCCCCATCAACTAATCCAAACCCGGCTGCATCATAAAGACTGCCTACGTATCCTCTTGCCCAAGGAATCAAGCCGAACGTAGTTCACCCAAATGGCCTCCAAAAGCCTCAATCCACTAGAAGAGTTCGCAACCCTTCTCCAATATCACGATCAAGTCTGCGGCTGATAGCACCTCCAATGGCCCTAAACTGAAATAATCCAAACACCTCCACCTGAGATGAACCAACGGCCATGTCTAGACTACATCTATCAGCTGCACTCGAATCAATCAACCTATCATCTGCATCCAAATCAACACGATTCCCAATCTGTGTCACATCAGCTGGAATCCCAAATGATATAGTATGATCTGAAGTTTCCACCCAACGTGGAGTAATATCACTCTCCACCCGCTGCGATGTCCTACTGATCTGATCACCACTCTCCACCTGCCGAGAGTCAAACGTGACATACCTGCTCAGAACAAAGTCAGAAGCCAATACCTGATAATCAAACATGCCTCTGAATCCCAAATGTGCTATCGGATCAAATCTCACATCCACGATGTGACCAAGTGCTGGATAGCTAAACATCCGACGCAACCCAAAATCTGAAGCAGCTCCACCAGATCCAAAATCTCTATATGCAGCAGTCGGCAACCTATACATAAGATGGCCCAAACATGTCGTAGCCCGCACACCAATGCCAATGCTCGACATCAAACACCGCTCGCCTCATCGCCTCAAAGTTTTGACACTAATGAAGTGTCTTCTATTACCGTGAGCTCGGCACAAATGCAAGAAAGAACCCCTACCATAATCAGAACGTCGGGTTACCTTTCTACCAACACACTTCCTCCATCTGTTGCGGGCTTCTAGGACTTCACACCAACGGGACTTGGTTGCAACCCACCAATGCCTAGAGCAATCCCCAACTACGGAAACCACATACCGATTACCTCCCAATGATGCTCCTTTGGAAGGCTCCCGAATGCCTGAATGAACACCCCTCAGAAAACCCCTCGAATGATGGATAGAAGTGTCAAACTCCACCTCGGTCTTCTCACTCATACCAATGGGTTCACAGGACTTCAAACTGCAGGTCAAAGCACTCCTCAATAACCCATACACGGCATTACCAATCAAATAACCCAGCATCAAACAACGCCATAGTCTAGCCGAATCAGATGAAGTCATCATCTCCCTATCAATCGTCGTGCTTCCAAGCAAATAATACAAATTACTTCTTCTGACGCCCTTCATCATAATCATGGACCCCGATGTGACCTTCAAACGTGCATCCACCAAGGTCACTTTATAGCCAGATGCCACCAAAGCTCCTAGTGAAATGATGTTCTTCGACAACTATGGAACGAACCTCACTTCATCCAACTCCTGAATCACTCCGTCATACATCTGAATACGAACAGTACCAATACCACCAATAGAGCATGCATGTCCATTACCCATGAGCACAACATCCTCTCTTTCCAACTTCTGAAAGCTGGAGAACCAATCCCTCCTAGGGCAAACGTGGTAAGAAGCACCCGAATCCAACATCCACTCGGTAGAGTTGGCAACACAAACTGACGGTAGTGCAGATAACGAATAGCCCGAAGAATCCGAATCTAAATTGTCGCCACTAGTCTTGACAACATTCACCTCTGAAGCTTGTACAGCTTTCCCCTTGTTCTTCTCGGCTCGATCTAACTTTGGGCATTCGGCTTTATAATGTCCTTCCTCTTTACAAAAGGCACACTGATTCCTACGAATCCCACGATGTGCACCTCTAGACTGCGACCTTCTGCTTCGGTTTGAACCACGACCATGAACTACTAATGCATCTCCCAATGCCTTCTCGGAGGACTCATCCACACTCTTCCTCAACTCATAATTCACTAACGCTGAGGTCACCTTCTTATAACTAACAGTAGTTCTTCCATTAATCATAGTTAGGACAAAAGTACCATAATCATCATCGGGCAATGAACACAAAAGTAGCATCGCCTTGTCTTCATCCTCAACCATGATATCCACATTAGCCATGTCTGAAAGTAGCTTTGTGAAGTTATTAACATGCTCCCTAATGGAAACTCCCCTCTTCATCTTGAACTGATAAAACCTCTTCTTCAAGTGAAGCCGATTCTCAATGCTCTTAGTAAGATACTTTTCATTGAGTGTTTCCCACATCTTCTTCGCCGACGTCTCATTCATCACGTCATAAATAAGATCCGGAGTCAAGCATGACCGAATAACTCCACACGCCCTACTATTCATCTTCTTCCAAACCTTAGCTTCCATCTCGGCAGGTTTCTCTTGTAACTCAAGAGTCTCCTCCAAATTCTGAGCGTCCAAGGCGTCCATCACCTGACATCTCCACAATCTGAAGTTAATCTTGCCGTCGAACTTCGGAACATCAATCTTCATGTTATTGATGCTCAAACTATGTATCGTCTTCGTAAGAGACGATCCCGATGTGCTTGTTTCACCCATGTTGTCGATCTAATCTTCAAATAAGAATCCTTCAGCGAATCTTTCAAACAAGCTCCCAAGTCCAACCCGGAGCTCTGATACCACTTGTTGTGCGCAGCGGAAATTTCGGCAGCACTTCGGCAGCACAACAAGAGAGATTAGATCGATAAGAATTCTCGTCTCACCAAGGAAACAAGAATCTGAAGCGGATATCTCAACCAAGTGAGATATCGGCTCTTCCTCTCATCAGTTCTAGGACTGACCTGTCGAGGGATCCTACAAGCTATTACAAATCACGACAAGAACACAAATTTTACGTGGTTCGGCAAACTGCCTACGTCCACGGGGCAAGGAGGGGGAGATCTACTATTAGAGGGAGAGATACAACTAGGGTTTACAATCACTCACAATCTAAACCCTCACACAAACTCTCAGATCCCTCACACAATTATCTCTCTCAAAAGGGGAGCACAAATCAAAGAACAACTGCAAAAAGACTTTGTATTTCTCTGTGAATAGCCGCCAAAGTCTGTCCTTGCTCTCCGCCACTTGCTGCAGTCGAAAAGAAAAAGAGAAAAAAAAAACCGATTTTTTTTTCTTGCTCCACGCAACTGCAGCCGCAAAACCTCCTACCCTTGCTTTTCTCTTGCACACACATTCACCAAAACCTAGGTGCTCACTTTATAGAACTGTGATTCGGGTGATTCGGGTGGGCCTGCTCCTTTCCGCACCTGTGAACAAAGTTAAAACTCTGTGCAAAGTCTTTCCAAATCAAAACTAATGAGGGGGTATAATATATATTTTCAAAATTAATTAATGTATATCCTATTAAAAGTCATTGAAGAGTAATCCAAATGTTTGCGTGTGTAATTAACAATGACGATCGATGCTAGGCCTTCTTAGCTAGCCTGTATTATAAGTGAGAATGATAAGGATAATGCGGCTGCTCTAATACTAGTGAGAAAGGGCGATTAGTTGCCCTAACAAAATTGACAGCCACATTAATGATTTTTTTAAACTTTAGCTTTGCGCAAAAGATCAGAACCTATATTGACAATTCTTGCACTTATCCGTCATTAGTGGGTGCGCACATGACAAGCACAGGTGAATTATATAATTTCCTTGCTTTCCTTTTCCTTTTCATTACCTAGCTACTCCATCTAGACCTTAGATATGGATACTCATCATCATGTTTTTCATCCAAAAAAATAGAACATGAATTTGATTTCTTTTTAATAATTCAATCTCCATCTCACATTCCATTAATTTATTCCAATGATAAAGTCATGGGAACAATTAAAAGGCAAGGTTTGGTGACATTCCATTAATTTAGCATGCTTTTCATATGAACTTGCTTGCCATCCATTGTCGACTCTTTTATTGCCTCAGAGTTCAGACTTCGCTTATTAACATTGTGAAACTAAACTAGCTAGCAAAAAGTTAGACACTTCATTTTCGTTAGGAAGTCCTAAAAGTTTTCTTGTCTTATAATTTAATTAGGTCCTGTTATTCTCTCCATTTCTACCAAAGCAAGGGTCCGTGGTCCTAGGGAAAACGAGGGAACAAACCTAAGAGTAGGTTATGACATATATATAACAACTTTAGTCAATGATTAAGTACTTGGTTTTAAGTAAACTTCAAGCAAATATAATATAATCTGGTAAAGTAAACAGTCCACTAAAGAGAGGTAATTAATGCTTCTGTTATTGAGTTCTCCATTTCCCTATGCAATCTCACGGCTCAGGCAACCCAACAGTCACGAAGAACAGTTCTCTCTCAATCGGAAATTCGTCCAGCAGCTCTCGTTCGTCGATCATCTTTCTTCAGCTCTCGTTCAGCGAGAAATCGTCCAGCAGCTCTCGTTCAACGTTCTTCAGCTCTCTCGTTCATCGTCCTGCAGCTCTCGTTCATCGTCCAGCAGCTCTCGTTCATCGTCTAGCAGCTCTCGTTCGGCGTTCTTCAGCTCTCTCGTTCATCGTCCAGCATCTTGCCATTTTTAAACATTTTATGGAGATTTAAATGGAGAGTTTGAATTCAGGTGTGTAGTGTCTAGTTGTTTTGATTGTAATGAATCGCGATTCAGTATTTAAATTCTTAGTCATATGAATTATTATATAGGAGATTACATTCTTAAACATTTTATGGAGATTTAAATGGAGAGTTTGAATTCAGTTGAACACGTTATAGTTGTTAATCTAGATTAACTGCATTGAATCGAGATTCAGTGTTAGAGTTTGTAGTGTTTTTCATAATTTATTCATTTGTTTACTACAGTTAATCTGGATTCAATGCAGTGAATCGAGATTCACTCCAGATTAATTTGCAATGATATGAATTCAATAAAGTTAATCGAGATTCACTCCAGTGAATCTAGATTCATTGCGATGAATCCCGATTCAATATATCAAAACTTAGTCCTATGACTTATTATCTAGGAGTTTACATTCGTGAACATTTTATGCCAATTTAATTGGAGAGCTTGAATTCATTGAATCCAGAATCACTAAAGAAAACATGGGAATACATTATGAAAAATCATTACATTCTCTAATAACTAGAACGTGTTCAAAGGGATTCACGTGTTTAATGAAGTGAATATGGATTCAATATAGTGAATCGAGATTCACTTGAGTGAATCGAGATTCATTGCCATGGATCCAGATTCATTATATCAAAATATAGCCATATTATTTATGTTGTTTTATTTTTAGTTGTTGGCAGCAATGAACAAATTAAGGAACCACATGTTATAAATGCATCGGACAGTGATTTTGGGGAAGATGGAATGGACGAAGTTAGCTCGATTCCTTTTGAATCACCAGGTGGTGGTATGTATTGGAAACCTCGGGTTGGAGCTGAATTTAAACCTTATCTAAACCAAAGCTTCCGATTACTAGAGGATGGTATAGAGTTTTACCGAGAGTATGGACGTAAAAGTGGGTTTGAGATCAGACGGCATACGGAGAAGAAACATGAGGACGGTACAGTTCTTCTTAAACACATTGTTTGCAGTAGAGCTGGCAGCAATGAATCAAAGATGGATGTTGATTTTGATGATTTTAGTAGCAGTTCGAAAAAGAGAAGGAGAACTGTATCTAGTAGATGTGGTTGCAAAGCTAAAGTCGTGTTTAAGTTTGATGGTTTGAAAGGATATAATGTTCTCTCATTTGTTGAAGAGCATTCTCATTTTTTGGTCTCCGGTAGTGGGAAACAATTTTTGAAGTCAAATAGAGTTCTCGGTCTCGCACATAAGAAACTTGTATTTGATGGAGCAAAAGCCAACATGGGGCCTAACAAAACATATAACTTTGCTAAGGAGTTGTGTGGAAGTTATTCTAATGTTGGTGCTACGTGTACCGAGTTTAAAAATTGGAGTAGGGATGTGAAGCTTTATATTGGTGATCGAGATGCTCAAATGATCATCGAGAAGTTCACGGATAAGAAGGAGATGAGTGATGGATTTTTCTATGATTATGCAGTTGATGAAGGCGGTCGATTAACTCGCATCTTTTGGGCAGATGTTATTGGGCGAAGAAATTACGATGTATTTGGAGATGTGATATCATTTGACTCTACATATTCCACAAACAAGTAAGATTTTATAGTTAATCTCTTACTATTTTCAATATTGTAATTATATATCATAGTGAATCTTATATTTTTTGTATGTGATACAATAGGTACAACATGAAGTTTGTTCCATTTACTGGTCTCGACAATTATAAGAAGTGTGTTGTATTTGCAGCAGGATTGATAGCTAAAGAGGACATTGATAACTATGTCTGGATTTTTGAGGTATTCATGAAATGCATGATTCGCGAGCCAAAGTGTATTGTTACAGATCAGTGCCCTACCATGAAGCAAGCTATACCAACCGTCTTTACAGAAGCACGTCACCGTTTGTGCATGTGGCACATCATGAAGAAATTTAACCAAAAGGTAATGAATCCCACATATAAATATAATGAATCCTCATTAGACAAATACTGAATCTTTCGTTATATATTTATATTGTAGTTGGCAAAATGCATTTCGAAGATGGATGATTTCAAGAGGAAGATCAATGCACTGATTTGGAGTATAGATATAGATCCAGCAACATTTGAAGTCGGTTGGAAAGATGTTATGAAAGAATATAAGCTTGAAAGTAATGAATGGTTGTGTGAACTGTATAACATTCGGGAGTCATGGATTCCAGCCTATTATGCTGATGATCCAATGGCCGGTTTATTGCGGACTACATCAATATCAGAGAGTGAGAACAGTTTCTTTGACAAATTCAACCGTAGATCTGACACATTGACAGAATTTTATCTCCGATACGAGAGTGCTATGGAGAAGCAAAGGCATACAAACGCAAGATTAAACTATGAAGGAACAAAGTCGATGCCAAGAATGGACACGCCATTGTTATTGGAGAGGGATGCAGCAGAGTTGTACACTCGAACAATGTTTTATGAGGTACAGAAAGAGATAATGTCATCCTGTTATGATATGAGCATCGACAGTATATCAGAAGAAGATGTTGTGAAGATTTTTTCCTTAAAGGACAAAAAGAGACATGGAAAAATATTTGAGGTAAAACTTAATAATGGAGATTGAAACAATAAAAATTGAATCCAGATTCAATGCAGTGAATCGCGATTCAATGAAGTGAATCTCGATTCACACCACTGAATCGAGATTCAGTGACCATTTCATTCGCTTGTCATTTTCTTTTTTTATTCGGTGCTAATATACATTGTTTTTTGAATTTTAGGTGAAACACGCTTACTTGAACAATGACGTGCAATGTACGTGTAGGCTGTTTGAGAAAATAGGTATAGTATGTAGACATGGTTTTTTTGCACTGAACCAAGCTGATGTAACAAAAATACCAAGACATCTTGTTGTGAACCGATGGACAAAAGGTGCTGAGATGAGGCATTCATTGCAGTTCAAGGAAATATCAGAACAGTGCAATGCAATTGAAGTTACAAATCGCAAGTTGAATGACATATGGTATGATTTCCAATCCTGTGTGAGTTTGGCAGGTTTAGATGGTGAGAGACTTGACTACCTGGAAGGGAAGTTGAAGGAGTTGAAGCACAGTTTGCGTGAATCTAGTTGGAAATCTGACACACAGAACAAAAATGATGTAATGGAGTTTTTTGTTGGCTCAAAAATACCAGCGGAAGTGATCGTTAAACCTCCCATTGAAGGTAGAAACAAGGGGTGTGGACGGAGAATTGTTGGTGATTATGAGAAATCAATTACTCAACGAAAGAAAAAGGTGCCAAGGCTGTGTAATATGTGCAAAAAAATCGATTTCCATGACGCACGGACATGCCCATTAAAGAAAACAATACAGCAGAGTGATGTTTAATTTAGTTGTCATAATTCGTTACAGAATCATTTTTAGGAATACATTTCTTATTAAAATTACTGAATTGTGTAATTCTTAACTATATATATTTACTAGATTATTAATTACATGGTTACATTGTGTCATGTTAGTATATTGAATTGAGATCTACTCATATAGCATGTGAATTCCATTATTATTAGTTGTATTATTTAAGCAGGTATGATAAAGTCGTTGTATGCAGTCATCAGTTTGAATTTAATTCGCGTTAAGCGATTCTGGACTAACTATATTGAATCTAGATTGATCGCAGTGAATCTAGATTATCTGATATTGAATTTCGATATCACTATAGAAATTCTTTATAATCAATCAAACAATCAAATTACTTGATTGTTTCGGTTTAAATTATTATGGACTAACTATAATGAACAGATTTTCATTTTAGTGAATCTGGATTCACTGATCTGCATATGGATTCACTATAGTGTAGTGACTAAGATAATATTGACTTACTGAATTTTTAGTGTAGTGAATCGAGATTCACTTTATTGAATCTGGATTCACTATAGTGAACCCAGTTTCAAAATAATAATTTAGTAATAACTTAGGATAATATTGAAACAGTGATCCAAGATTCAATACATACAATCCACAATAAGAACGATCAATTTATTTGTATGTTACATAAAAGCTTGAATTATAACTCACATTATATGCTGTAATCGAAATTCTTCCATTTGCATTCACTACCTTCACAGTATTTTCATAAAATCTGAAATAAAACTATGACAAAGCTATTCTCATAAAGCAGTTTTTACATAGAAAAGCAGTTCAACACAAACTAGAGTATTCCATAACATTAAGTGACAATGTACTCAATAACTGTAAACTTCAACATTGAAAATTATGCTGATTTCAGAATATCATTTTCTTTGAGATCTTGTGATCTTCCTCGTCTCTTTTTTGAATTTGGCAGTTTCAGCATGGTGCAGTTGGGCTTTCCTGATGACTTCTTTGGCCAATTCATTTGTTGGTTCAGTAAGAATTTGGCAACAATATATAGACCTCAGTCTATGTAGCTGATTTTTTAATCGCTCCTGTCGATATGAATAAAAGTTCAGTTAAAGATTCAGTAGCTATATTCTAAATTTTATTAATTCAAAAAGACTAAATGTAAATTATCAACACATTATTAGTTTAAACACTTACACCCTCTCTATGAAAACCAGAGTTCCAATTTGCTGTACCACCGCCCATGTAGGTCTCCATATGTCTCATGACAAAAATAGCACAATCAAATTTGTTTTTGGCCGTTCTCCACTCCATCTCAAGTCTGTCAGGCGTTAATGTATTTATTTCACTCGCCTTGTGATGTTTTTTGTCTGCCAAATATCTCACAAAATTCTGGTGCTGTTTAATCAAAATTAATCATTGTCACATAATAAATCCAAATTATTATACAGTAATGTTTAATGTAATATACAATTTGTTTTGGTTGTTTATATGCAAACAGTATTAATGACATTGAATCACGATTCATTGGATCTAGCTCGCTAGAATTTAATAGAGTTAGTTCACCTGGACTTACTCTAATGAATCTGGATTCATATTAGTGAATCTGGATTCATTAGAATTAACTATAGGTAGTGGATCGTGATTATGTGATGTGAACACAGATTAACTAGCTATATTGAATCGAGATTCATAGTAAGATGTGAATCCATATTCACTAATTCTATTGATCGAAATTTCAGATCACTAGTTATAGCTAGTGGATCGTTATTACGTGATGTGAACACAGATTCGCTATGTCTAGTGAATTGAGCTTCATAGTAAATGTGAATCCAGATTCACTAATTATAGTGATCGATATTCACTAGAGTTAGCTAATCTGGAATTCTCTGACTCTATTGAATTCCAGATTCACTATATTTAATCCATATTCACTATAGTGAATCGAGATTCACTAAAGTGAATCGAGATTCACTAAAGTGAATCCAGATTCACTATAGTGAATCCAGATTCAATATAGTGAATCCAGATTCACTATAGTGAATCTGGAATTCACTAGAGTCAGATAATTCCAGATTAGTTAACTCCAATGAATCTCGATCACTATAATTAGTTAATCTTGAAACTTTGATCTGTGTTCACATCACGTAATCACGATCCATATTAGCTAACTCTAGAGTCAGATAATTCCAGATTAGCGCTAGTAAATATGTGTTCACATCACGTAATCACGATCCACTAGCTATAACTAGTGATCTCAAACTTTGATCACTAGAGTTAGTGAATCTGGATTCACATCTTACTATGAATCTCGATTCAATATAGCTAGTTAATCTGTGTTCACATCACATAATCACGATCCACTACCTATAGTTAATTCTAATGAATCCAGATTCACTAATATGAATCCAGATTCATTAGAGTAAGTCCAGGTGAACTAACTCTATTAAATTCTAGCGAGCTAGATCCAATGAATCGTGATTCAATGTCATTAATACTGTTTCCATATAAACAACCAAAACAAATTGTATATTACATTAAACATTACTGTATAATAATTTGGATTTATTATGTGACACTGATTAATTTTGATTAAACAGCACCAGAATTTTGTGAGATATTTGGCAGACAAAAAACATCACAAGGCGAGTGAAATAAATACATTAACGCCTGACAGACTTGAGATGGAGTGGAGAACGGCCGAAAACAAATTTGATTGTGGTATTTTTGTCATGAGACATATGGAGACCTACATGGGCGGTGGTACAGCAAATTGGAACTCTGGTTTTCATAGAGAGGGTGTAAGTGTTTAAACTAATAATGTGTTGATAATTTACATTTAGTCTTTTTGAATTAATAAAATTTAGAATATAAAGCACATCAATTAGCTACTGAATCTTGAACTGAACTTTTATTCATATGGACAGGAGCGATTAAAAAATCAGCTACATAGACTGAGGTCTATATACTGTTGCCAAATTCTTACTGAACCAACAAATGAATTGGCCAAAGAAGTCATCAGGAAAGCCCAACTGCACCATGCTGAAACTGCCAAATTCAAAAAAGAGACGAGGAAGATCACAAGATCTCAAAGAAAATGATATTCTGAAATCAGCATAATTTTCAATGTTGAAGTTTACAGTTATTGAGTACATTGTCACTTAATGTTATGGAATACTCTGGTTTGTGTTGAACTGCTTTTCTATGTAAATATACTTTATAACAATAGCTTTGTCATAGTTTTATTTCGGATTATATGAAAATACTGTGAAGGTAGTGAATGCTAATGGAAGAATTTCGATTACAGCATAGAATGTGAGTTATAATTCAAGCTTTTATGTAACATACAATAAATTGATCATACTTATTGTGGATTGTATGTATTTAATCTGGAATCACTGTTTCAATATTATCTTAAGTTATTATCTTAAGTTTCACTAATTTGTTGAATCTGGATTCACTTTGCTAAATCTCAATACATTTGGTTCAATCTCGATTCACTAAAGTGAATCTAGATTCACTTAAAGTGAATCTCGATTCACTACAGTGAAACACTATTGACTGCAACTATAGTGAATCCAGATTCAATAAAGTGAATCTCGATTCACTACACTAAAAAATTCAGTAAGTCAATATTATCTTAGTCACTACACTATAGTGAATCCATATGCAGATCATTGAATCCAGATTCACTACAATGAATCTATATTCATTATAGTTAGTCCAGAATAACTTAAACCGAAACAATCAAGTAATTTGATTGTTTGATTGATTATAATGACCGGCCGGAGCCCGGCCCGGGCTTGGCCCGAAAACCCGGGCCAGACACGGGTCCGGTCGTTGGCGCCCGGCCCGGGCCCAGACCCGGCCCGGAATAGTATTTTTTTATTTTCTTATATGTATAATATATGTATATATATATAATATATGTATATATGTATATATATAATATATGTATATATATATATAGGGAGAGGTTCAAATACAAACCTCGCTATCCTAAAAACTAAAAACTTCTCCTCTCCATTGGATCTAGATTCATCCAATGGCTGAGATTAAACCTGCGTGAGGGTAATCTGGTAAAATAAACAGCACCCAAAGAGAGGTAATTAATGCTTCTGTTGAGTTCTCCATTTCCCCATGCAATCTTACGACTCAGGCAACCCAACAGTCACGAATATCAGCTCTCGTTCATCGTCCAGCAGCTTTCAATCGTGAAATTGTCCAGCAGCTATCTCGTTCATCGTCCTTCAGATCTTCAGCTCTCGTTCAGAAATCGTCCAGCAGCTCTCGTTCATCGTTCATCGTTCTTCAGCTCTCGTTCATCGAGAAAACGTCCAGTAGCTCTCATTCATCGTTCTTCAGCTCTCTTGTTCGAAGTCCAGCAGCTGGACATTGCTCAACATTTTATGGAGATTGAAATGGAGAGCTTGAATTCAGGTGTGCATGGTCTAGTTTTTTTCATTGTAATGGAACTAGATTCAGTATTTAAAAACTTAGCCATATGACTTATTATCTTGTAGCTTACATTCTTAAACATTTTATGGAGTTTTAAATGGAGAATTTGATGCATTGAATCGAGATTTTTTCATTTGTTCTAAATGGATAGTGGTAAATATTGGTGGTCTGGATTATGCAATATGCACTCTAGTTGAGTTTATCTCGATTCAGTTGAGTGGATCGAGATAAACTGGGTGAATCTACTCTATTCAGTTTAGTGAATCGCGATTCACTGGATAAATCGTCTCGATTCAGTTTTGTAAATCGCGATTCAGTTGAGTGGATCGATATTCACTGGATGAATATACACGATTCAGTTGAGTGAATCGCGATTCAGTCGAGTGGATCGAGATTCACTGGGTGAATCTACGCGATTCAGTTGAGTGAATCGCGATTCACTCGTTGATTCGACTCGATTCAGTTTTGTAAATAGCGATTCACTGGGTGAATCGTCTCGATTCAGTTATGTAAATAGCGATTCACTGGGTGAATCTACTCGATTCAGTTAGGAAAGTGAGGGTTTTAAATTTTTTCCATTTTCTTTGATCTTGTTAGAATAAGTCAAGTAATTTTTATATTGTAAGATGTTTTCATTTGATCTAAATGGATAGCGGTAAATCCAGATTCAGTATATCAACACATATGATTGATGGTGTTTTATTTTCAGTTGTAGGCAGCAATGAACAAATTTACATACCACATGTTATAAATGCATCGGACAGTGATTTTGGAGAAGATGGAATGGACGAAGTTAGCTCTATTCCTTTTGAATCACCAGGTGGTGGTATGTATTGGAAACCTCGGGTTGAAGCTGAAGTTAAACCTTATCTAAACCAAAGCTTTCGCTCACTAGAGGATGGTATAGAGTTTTACCGAGAGTATGGACGTAAAAGTGGGTTTGAGATCAGACGGCATACGGAGAAGAAACATGAGGACGGTACAGTTCTTCTTAAACACATTGTTTGCAGTAGAGCTGGCAGCAATGAATCAAAGATGGATGTTGATATTGATGAGTCTAGTAGCATTTTGAAAAAGAGAAGGAGAACTGTATCTAGTAGATGTGGTTGCAAAGCTAAGGTCGTATTTAAGTTTGATGGTTTGAAAGGATATAATGTTCTCTCATTTGTTGAAGAGCATTCTCATTCTTTGGTCTCCGGTAGTGGGAAACAATTTTTGAAGTCAAATAGAGTTCTCGGTCTCGCACATAAGAAACTTGTATTTGATGGAGCAAAAGCCAACATGGGGCCTAACAAAACATATAACTTTGCTAAAGAGTTGTGTGGAAGTTATTCTAATGTTGGTGCTACTTGTACCGAGTTTAAAAATTGGAGTAGGGATGTGAAGCTTTATATTGGTGATCGAGATGCTCAAATGATCATCGAGAAGTTCACGGCTAAGAAGGAGATGAGTGATGGATTTTTCTATGATTATGCAGTCGATGAAGGTGGTCGATTAACTCGCATTTTTTGGGCAGATGTTATTGGTCGAAGAAATTACGATGTATTTGGAGATGTGATATCATTTGACTCTACATATTCCACAAACAAGTAAGATTTTATAGTTAATCTCTTACTATTTTCAATATTGTAATTATATATCATAGTGAATCTTATATTTTTTGTATGTGATACAATAGGTACAACATGAAGTTTGTTCCATTTACTGGTCTCGACAATTATAAGAAGTGTGTTGTATTTGCAGCAGGATTGATAGCTAAAGAGGACATTGATAACTATGTCTGGATTTTTGAGGTATTCATTAAATGCATGATTCGCGAGCCAAAGTGTATTGTTACAGATCAGTGCCCTGCCATGAAGCAAGCTATACCAACTGTCTTTACAGAAGCACGTCACCGTTTGTGCATGTGGCACATCATGAAGAAATTTAACCAAAAGGTA